GCATTGAGTTAATTATATCTCCTTGGGGTCTGGGAGCTTCATAAAACATTTCTGCTTGTGTGAATTATACTCTTCACCTTACAGCTGCCTGTGGGGGAGAGTTAAACAAGCTGATAAAATCACAAGATGCAGGAACACACGAGTTCCTCACAGCTGAGAAGACAAGTCCGATACTGTGCTTGCCTGCCATCTAGTGTTTGGATACAAGCACAGCTTTATTTACACGTCTGGGTTTGGCTGCTCGTCTTCTATTGTAGCCGATTTCAGCGATGTAGTCGTAATGGAGCAAACATCAGTCTTTGATGTAGATCTTCTGAAAGCATGGGCTGAAATGTTATTTGTTAAATTCCTTATCTTGACAAAGGTTTCCTATAAAGTCACTAACAACACGAAAAACAACCAACAGGTTGTACTCACACATTAGCTGAAGTTTTCCTGCTTATATTTTTTTCTCTGCGCTATAAAATACATTTTAAAAAGTCTTCTTGATCGAAATAACAATAATCGCAGTGAACGGCCCAGAATGCAACGGGGCGTTCAGTTCCTTCTTTTATTTAAATTAATTAAAATAAAATTAAAAACAATCTAAACATATTTGTGAATTATGTTTCCCTCTGGGATAGCTCAAATTCTAACCCTCCCAAAATACTCGTTAAAGCAACAAACCGTGATAAAGATTCCACGCGCCTTTTTGACCCTAGTTATACCTGGTGTGCAGCGCGTGCTAATCCGTGGGAGGAAGCTCATTGAAGAGGTCACGTGCCGAGTGCTTGTCACTCCACCAATCACCTTGGGGAAGGTCTGAGAGAAGAGCCAATCGTTGCCCTTGCAGGGCATCACCTGAATCCGGGTGAGCGAGTGAACAGAAAGCATGGGTCAGTAAGAGCAGGTGTAGCAGCAGAAGCCGGTTGGCAGGTGGATGCATCTCTCTGATGACTTGGAAGCGCTCGCGGCTGGCGACTGAGTGCGATGAATGAGTTGGGGCAGATCTCCACAACCCAATTCAGACTACTCTCCCCCCACGTTTTGCACAAATATTGAACCATCAAGGATCATGTGACTGGAGGGTCATTTATGTCCTCTTGATGACTTTTCTGGACTGTGGCACACGCATAAGACAACATTGTGAATGCAAATCATAAATCTGCATCTCACATGAAATGCTTGTAGGAAATATTCATATTCAAAATATTCACATCTCTCTGTGAGAGAGGGCAATGTAAACACAAGGTTAAAAGGAAATGCTTCTGGATTTAGACACTGAAAGCATCTGTTTTCCTCATGTATGTTAATGATGAATGTTAATGTTTCTTAATACGCTTGTTTGGTCTTGCATTGGCCTATATTCACATGCAGTTTGTGCATATGACATTGGTGAGACACAAGAAGTGCCAAGAACCTGTTTTTTTATGACATACTGCTTTACATGTGCAAGTTATCATATCATATCATACAAAAATAATGCATTTTCAGTGGAACACTTGAGGTGCACAGTGCCCAACGCTGAAAAATACTGGCATTGTAATTTAGGTGTCTTTACAGATGATGCACCTGTATGTAAAGTGTTTACTGTGGATCTTTATTTAATACTGCTTTTTTGTTTAACATGTAACCACTTAACTAAACTTTCAGAAAACAACTCTGTGATCATATTGTGTCCTACTGTCCTTGGTGCACAGCTTCAGTTTTGCCCCCAAACAAAACCAGTTCATGTTTCTGCCCCACTTTTTAGCCTTATTGGAACACGAAGTGTTGCCCGCACGATCTTGAAACACAGAGCCACAGAGTTTAACCTCGAACATCATCTGATGATGCCACAGTGATAACACATTCACAGAGTGGGTTGAACAGGAGGCAAATGAAATGATGTCTATTGAGTTGGCCTACTCCAAGATGAGTTCTGGATCCTTCTGTCTGTGTGACTGACTACTGCAGTTAACCACAGAACAGCAAACCAGCCCAGCAGCATCTGCTAAATCTCAAAACATCTTTAAGATTCCCATTGTAACCTACAGGTTAACCTGTAAGTATCAAATATTTTAAATTGTTTAACATGCATACTTTCTGATTTTTCTGCGTGCTACTTGAAAGTGTGCAAACCTGTTTTGTTTCTAAATGAAATAGTAGCTTTGTGTGCCAGTTCCATATACTATGGAAGGATTATTGCAAGTAGTCAAAAAATGTAAATATTTATGTAATTAATATTGCTACTTAAGTAAGTTAACCCTGATCTTCACTAATCAGAATATGTACCGTGTAGTATTAAAGTGACACAGTAATGTCTGGAGAGAGATATGAATCAGTTTGATTGTTCTCTTCTCTCATACCTCATACAAATAATAATCCGCTGGTCTCAAAAAAGCGGGATGTGTGTCGGCACAGATAATTGGTGAACTGTCCACGACCCAGTTTGCTGTAATTATCTGATGGCTGCAGTATATAACTGCGACCGTCATGTTAAATGTAGAGCGAAAACAGAGTGACAACATCAGGGACCAGGTCGCAAGAATAAAGAAGTTTTAATGTCAGACTGCATGGTGAGTATAAGATGAATAATTTAATAAAAGCGTAGTTAATGTATTTCAGGGTGGATTTTATATGGTTTATCATCAGAAAAATGGAAGCTTAATCTAATCAAAGTTAGAAATACATTTACTGTTGAGAGATTTAACCTGTAAGAAAAAGAAGCAGCATTTGGGGGTTTCTCAGATTTTTAGAATTATACACAAAATTGCATATTTTTCATTTAAATTTTATATCTCGGTTATTGTGTAAAGTTGAGTCTTGAATAAAATGAATGAAGTTTGAATTTTGAAATTTATACATGTGCAGTTCTTTAAAATGCCTGCGGATTTAAAGGCCTCTCCTACATGTGTTGGCTGAACGTGTTTATTTACAACATTTAGTGAGGAAAAATCTGAGGGCACATGGCCACCTCTGTTAAGAACAGATGGGAATTATGGGAGCATTAATGGCTTAGCTAAAGAGGCTATACCCTTTTTACCTTACTTGTAGGACACGGGCTGACCCAGCATCAGCCAGGCCAAACCAATATGAGCAGTTACACTTACAGCAGAATTCATAAGTAAAATGAGATTATTTCTGATTTTGTCTCCATTTGATTCTATTCGGAACTTTTATACTTTTCTTTAATTGTTTTTAACACAGAGGAATCGGTTTCTCTAGTTCCACATTTTATAAACGATTTGTTTGCTCAAACATCATCATCATTAAGTACAACGAGTGAGCGTTCACTCTGCTAAATGAGGAGCTTACAATGTGTTTTACTGACACAAGTTTGAATGCACTTTTAAACGGAGACTGAGTTTGAGGAATATTCTTTGACTCTTTCGCGTCTCACGACCTAAAACGTGTGGAATCAGTCACATGGATCAGTTTTGCCCAGCCATACACGTTTGAGGGTCGGGGCTGGAGTTGCATAACTTGTTGTTTGTGGTTTGCACAGATGTTGTGGCAGCATTTTCAACCTGCAGTGATATTGACACGATTATTGGAATAATGATGTATACCAAAGTCTACTGGGGCACTCAGGGTGGATTAAGGTTTCCATAAAAGCGGATGGGCATCCTTTATAGTTTCAGATACTTCCAGGGGAACGGGAGGGAACCAAACTCGTCTCATCATAGCAGATTCTGCAATGAACTGACACTTCTGTAGTTCCAAGATATCACTAAGGTCATATGTCACAGTTTGTTTTTTTCTCTTCAGTTTAGGTTTGCGTGAAACTAAGCAAACGTTGCATTGATAGCGTTCTGATTGCATCTGTTTATTCTGTTTTCTTGCATGTATCTTTAATTGTCCGTACATTCGTGTGTGTTTACAGATTTAGCATGCCTCTGTTTGCATTGAAATCCTTGCTGTTGTGTGTGCTGATGGTTGGTGCGGTGTATACCTGTATGCTGAAGAATTACACTTTATGGATTGAGAAGCAAGACTGCACCCAGTGCGTGGCCATCAACACTACCATCTGCAGTGGCTATTGTTACACCCAGGTGACAACTTCTGCACACAGTTACACTTTTCATGGAAACTCAATGATGTAAAAGTTAAGCAAACTGTATGATGGACATTATGAGAATATTTGAGACAACAATAATGTGATGAAGGTAATGATGACATATCAAACTGTAACACATTCTGCGGATTTTTCACATATTAATCATATAAAAATCTTAATGGCACCTTGTTCCGTTCTCATTGAATATTGTCGTCATCAGCCTTGTTTCCTCATTTCCAGGACACTAATTTGAGGGGACGATTTGGGAGGACTTTCTTGATCCAGCGTAGCTGTGTTCCTCTTTCCTTGGTGTACCGGGCTGCCCATATTCCTGGTTGTCCCAAGGATGTCAACCCACAGCTGTATTATCCCGCAGCCCACTGCTGCAGCTGTAGGCGCTGTGACACACGCACACACCGTTGCGTCCGGACCAGCCGTATCCCTTATGATCAGTGCTTCACGACACTTGACAGTGTGAAGAAACAGAACCAGTCTGCTGTGGAGATCTCACAATACTCCAATACAAGCAGCAGCGCGCTTGCACGGAAGTGATTCAGCTATTAATGAAAATGACTACGTGTTTGTGTGTGTTGATGTTATTGTAGTGCATCTCAGGTTCTGTTCTCTAGTTTATTATGATATTGCAATAAAACAGTCTGTTCATGCAATACAGTTGTGATTGTTTTTGTCTTTTATGACTAAAAGTGTGAAATTACAATAAAAACATTGAAATAAACAAATAAAAAATAAATTACATTTAAAAAAAGGCTAATTTGGTTACTGCTTAGCTTAGGGGGTTGGGTGGCGATAATAATAAACTGGACCATGAACAGACCCAGTACAATACCTAACAATAGCAAGAATGATGGTTCCAGGAAATATCAGAGATATCAGGATTACTCGGCTGATGTCTGAGAGAAACGGTTATAAATGTTGCATCATGGTCTGTTTGTCCCGCCCAGTTTTTAGAGAATCTATTTTTATTGTCTGAGGCGCACCTAGCTGTAGCTTGTCTCCTTCCTCTTTCTACTCATTCATTAATTTATTAACCAAGACGATGGATATGAAGCAGCGTTAAAGTCTTTATTTTAAGGCGTGCTGTCCCAGCTCTTTTCCGTAAGTAACCACGATTCTTTCGAATACAGCTCCGATGTTTTACTATGTCTTTCACATCTAAATACATTTAACAACCCGGGAAAAAGTTGCAGGACGGGTTAAAAAAGCAACCAAAAAGCAAAAAACTGTAAAGCTTTTGTAATTAGGCAGAGCAGATGTAGTTAACTTTCTAATTCAGATCACAGGTTATTATCAGACGCAGTAGCTGTTTGTTTTTTAATTTATGACTTTATCCATTGTATGAGTGTATGTTTGCAATCAAGACGCCTCGAGACAAGAGCTGGATTCATCTGAAATGACACACTGCAGATGGGTGTCTGCCTGCCTTGATTTGGATATTAGGATTGTGCTTTGATGTTGGTGGGTAACTGACCCTGATTTTAACTTGGCTGGTAATGCAGTGGGTGGAGAGTCAAATTTATCCTTGTCTCTGCAGGGCCGGACTTTCCTCTATATATATCACCTTGAGCTTATTTCTGCTCTTGCCTTGCTCAGTGTCTCTCAGGGACCCTCAGCCTGCTCTCCCTCTGTGCTAAAACAACTTCTGCACTCACCATGGCCCAACAACAACAGATAAGGTACGGACCTGTGCACCAAGTTAGATGAGATAATAGGAACGAGGCATGTTCTAATTGTTTTTTTGTCAATCCAATAGTTTTATACAATAAACACAGAATTTGCCACCTGTCTTTTGCTCTTGTGCCGATGTGTAGCACTTTATTACAGTTACATGTGAGTTGTTTGCTTTACTTTATTTTCTATAGCTTCTACAAAGAGATACACTAGTATGGGTCACACACCAAGAAGCATAATGAGTTGCTTTCATATTACTTCAGCTTAGTTTGAGCAGGTTTTCTCGCCTCGCCTGTCAACGCCCTTCTTTGTGTAACTGCAGAAATGATGGGAAAAAGAATGATTGTTATGTCCTTGTCTGTTGCGACTTGCCTTTGTACAGTCTACCAGCCAAACTGATCAATGGAGGGATTGCAGGCATGGTAGGAGTCACCTGTGTGTTCCCAATCGACTTGGCCAAGACGCGCTTGCAGAACCAGCGCAGTGGGCAGCAAATCTACAAGAACATGTAAGGCCGGCACCTGCAAATGAAAACTCACTGATAGTTTGAGACAACACTAGTATAGTTTGTATCTTCATAATCCAGTGCTGCTTCTTCTTAAAAATGCATGTGAATACATTATTGTTTCTACTATGCAAGTTCCTGTTCTTGTTGCTGTGTCATCATTATGTTTCACTTATGTTGTAATGACACCATTCTGCTACACTGAATGATAACAACCTTCACTGTGAATCTCATGTTTCTCACCAGGATGGACTGCCTAGTCAAGACAGTTAAATCTGAGGGCTACTTTGGCATGTACAGAGGTAATACTTGCAGTTTTTACAAGTGATTGTTTGCCCCAAAGTCCTTTATCTAGTTTTGCAAGAACTGCCATCACCTACATTGGCAGATATATGTAAAAGCAAAGAGATCTATGACACATTTGAATTGCCTGACCTTATTTGAAATTGGTGGAACCAATACAACCAGACTGGGTAATTTAATAAGACGCACAGATGCTGAGTCACATTCAGTGTTGGATCAAAGCCTGAGTAAACTGGCCCATTAATGGTTTGGTGCAAGGCAGCGAAAAATGCAGTCAGTTGTGTCACAGTAGCTTAGTGGCAGGCTATTTTGTTCTGTTGCTAAACATTTCCGTTTTGCTTTGCACATTCCTACAGTCAGGATAGTTTCTATACTCCTGTTTTCCTGCACTGGAAAATGTGCTGTCAGACTGATGAGTTAATATGTTTCAGCAAGTCTGCACCTTTGCTTCATTAGGAGTTTGTCACAAGCAGGTTTGTTGTTGCAGGTGCTGCAGTAAATCTAACCCTGGTAACCCCAGAGAAAGCCATCAAACTAGCTGCTAATGATTTCTTTCGCCACATGTTGAGCAAAGATGGGTGAGTAGCACTTAAGAACATATTAGCATCCAGTGTCATTCTTATTTATTTATTTTTTATCTAATCGACGTGTTTGGGTCCTTAGTGGTAAGTTGACAGTGTTCAAGGAGATGTTGGCGGGATGCTGTGCGGGGATGTGCCAGGTCATTGTCACCACACCCATGGAGATGCTCAAGATCCAGCTGCAGGATGCAGGCAGGATAGGTAAAACCATCTACATCTGCAAATCATTTGCAAAAACCCCCAAACAAAACTGGTGTTTGGGGGTTTTTCAGCTCTAAAATACTTAGATTTCCTGTTTCTGCCAGCTGCCCAGCAGAGAGTGATGCCCGCTGTTGTAACAACTCTGAAGATGGGCAGGGCCAGCGCAGTTCTTAGCCGTTCCTATAACACCATCCCTGGGCCTCAAGCCATGCGAACTTCTGCCATACAGATCACCAGAGAGCTGCTGAGGACCAAGGGTGTTACAGGACTATACAGGGGTCTTGGGGCCACATTGATGAGGTGAGATGTGCAAATGTATTGCCATATCACATGTTTAATCAACCAGTTTTACATCTTTCTGTCTATCAATCCAAACATGTTTGTTTGTATTTGATCTTTTCAGGGACATCCCGTTCTCCGTTGTGTACTTTCCTCTTTTTGCACATGTGCACCAGCTTGGCCAGCATTCATCTGACGACCCATCCGTCCCTTTCTATTGGTCCTTTTTGTCTGGCTGCTTGGCTGGATCCATCGCCGCTGTGGCTGTCAGTCCTTGCGATGGTGAGAGACTCATTTGGTGCACTACGAAGTAAAGTGACATTTTAAAGAAAAACATCATTTTATTATTTGCATAATTTCTAATTTTCTGTCTCATGCAGTTGTCAAAACAAGGCTCCAGTCGCTCAGAAAAGGAACTAATGAAGAAACGTACAGTGGCGTGGTGGACTGTATCAGGTGAACATAGCTTAAATCATAGCTTTGGATTCTCAGCATCACCAACAAACATTCTGCTTGGCTTGGCCTCGATAGCATAAATCAAAGACTAATTCTGGGCTTGTCTTGTTAATTGCAGGAAGATCCTGAGAAAAGAGGGTCCTGGAGCTTTCCTCAAGGGAGCTACTTGCCGGGCCCTTGTCATAGCCCCGCTCTTTGGCATTGCACAGGTTGTGTACTTTGTGGGTGTTGGAGAGTTCCTGCTGGGGTACACACCCTACAACATCTGCTCTGCATAAAAAAAAAAAAGCTGTTTCCAACCTTTGCTGGTTTATTAAATTACAGCAGCTATGCCCCGAGCGTAGCAATGGATCCAGCTCTTTGTGTACCTTCTTTATTGTTGGAGGTTTCGAGTAAAATGCTAAATGGATCATAGATATGCCATTCATTTTAAAATGGTCTAAAAATATGACTTTAGCATGAAGATCTCTTTTTTTAATTAAGAGACTGAGGTTGAAGTTTACCAGTCTGTGCTTCACTGGATCTTTCTGGGAGACAGAGCTTTCCTCACCTGCCCAGAGCTCTGCTTCAGGGGCACCAGACTATTCACTGCTTTCTCAGCTTTACTCCATCACCTGCCTTTCATTGCAACCCTAATCTGGTTTTCCATCTAACTGCTCTATCTTGGCAACTATGAGGTGATGGTATTTAATGTTATGAAGAGACATAACTGTGCCAATTAGCATAAAACAATAGTGGTCGAACATTTTTACTTCACTTCCGTCCTGTTTTAAGAGGATAAATAAAAAAGGGGCATAACCTCGTCCCAAATTCTGTCATCTAGGGATGATGGTTTAGAAAAGATGAAGAAGAAATGTTTGGTCAAGAGGTCTCCTGTTCCCCATTCTCGCACCACATACACAACTGTGATTGATCTAAAGTGAATTTTAGTTTTGAGCGCGCACTGCGAGTCTCTTCTACACAACTCTGTGTATTTTTTGTTTGTGTTTTTTAACTCTGCAAATAAAGCCCAACAAGGCCACCTGCAGCTGACTTTAGAGAACCACATTTTTGTGGTAAAGGAAATGTTGTTTAATGGTAAAGACTTTATTGATGGATTCATTTGGCATTTGGGACCAAACGTGGAAGAAAAAAGGTGCTACATGACCTACACGTAGCCATGTTCTCTTAGTCTGTTGTGGTTGTCTGTCTGATTTCTAGCTGTCAGAGATGCCGGAGCACACACACACAAAAATGACATGTTAGGCATTCAGAGGCAGTAAACAGTGTAATGATAGATTCTCTGCCTGCTCGACCTTTTCATGGGTTAAAGTCATTTAAACTGTTCTACCAATGTAAATATGCAGGTTTTTCTTCAGTTTTCTCAAACTGTGCAAAGTGGAGCTAAATTAGAGCAGTTTTTTGTAAATACATAAATGCTGAATAAATGTCTGTAAATGCAGCGTTTATTTCTGTTGTTTGCGTTGAGTGTGTGTGGCTTGAAGTGTTGAATGTTATAGTCTATAATCACTCGCTGATGGGAAACAGGCAGCAAATTAACTTCAGATGATTTAATATTTTGTTTTTATGTAGGCCTGAAAGGTGTTACCCTGCTCCTTTACACACGCACCACAAGCGTGGTTCAGATTTTGGCAGTAAAAGTGCTCGTGCTGCAGTGCTGAGGTAATGTCACCCCGGGCAGTCCTTGAGCCAGCTGGATTGCACACATAACTATACCTTTAACTTAATCTCCAGCTGTCCTTACAGATCAAGTGCAGAAATGTGAACCTCTGACATGAAACTCATGCAACTAAATCTGGAAACCTACTTAATCACTGGAGATTTCACTGGGTTTCCTGGGGATCACCATTGCTTCTAAATTGTGCAGTGCTGCATTTAGAAACTACTAAATTATTTGCATTTTATTTTCTAAAGGAGCTTTGCTGTGTCAGCACTTCTCATGATGTGAGGTAAAAATATCGCTACATTTAGAGCGCACCCAGGAAAATGCTGCAGATGGATTTCATTAATGGAAATTGCTAGAAGTGTGCCGTGAGTGTGTCACTGACATCCTGCGTGAGCGTGTGGACCGATCCCAAGACATTAAACAACAATCTCACACACTTTAAATCTGTGCAAAAAGAAACGTCAATGCTTTCAGAGTTTATATATAAACTTGTATCTGCTTTAATCATCCACATACAATTGTAAATCTACTACCACTGAACACTTTTTCAAAAGGAAATGGCCAATAAAGACCAGCATGTCCTCCCTGTGTGCACTTGTGCAAATGTCTGTGATGCAATAATGGAAGGACAGACACGTGAAGCTCTACAAAACCTTCAAAAAGCTTTATTAAACTTCAAACACCTATATTCCTGAGAGGCCTGGAATGGTATCAAAATAAATTAACACACAATCATCTATGAAAGGCTTGACTGTGTACAGAGTTTTTGTTTTTGAGGTGCACAGTGTGTTACATCTCCAGATTTGCTCTAACAAATAGAAATGAGGAAGACAGCAACAGATTGGTGGCTTTGGTAGCAGTAAACTGTGCCTCTGAAGTGACAGTCTGGTGATAGTCCTGTGTTGCTTCAGTCTTCAGAGTAAACACTGCCTACTGGCACCCTGAAGTGGTTATCAAGTCTCACTTGTTGTCATCGCTTGTGCCACATTACAATGCAATGGAAAAAACAAAGAATAGTAATATTGACCAGCATGTCTGACGCAGCTTGATTGTTGGAACTTAATCAGCATTAAAATGATTGTTTTGAGTCCTCGTTACAGGATTCCTTGGTACCAAAAGCCTTTTGAAATATTTGGCAGGAAAGTCGTTGCTCGCACCACGTCAGCTTCCTTGGCTGAGCTCGAGTTGAACGCAGCACTGTGAAACACGCCATAAAATGGCGAGTCGAGCCCCGTCTGCTACTCGTCGAATACATTTGACGGCTAACTGCAGTCCAAGTCTACAAACGTGCACGCTGTTGCTACATTTATTCACTACGTTCAGCTCACCGACCAGCTTAAAGAAAGGCACATCAATCAGACGCTGTTCGAGCTGTGTGGATACAAACAATCTCGCCACTATTACACTGTACAGCTACTGCCAACATCTGTCTAAACACAGCATGTTAAATAGTAACTATCACATTTAGCACAAACAATGTACAATAGAAAAGGAAACATATTTACATCCTACTGTCCTGCCTGCTGGAAAACGTCCTATAGAATAAACAATGGCCTGATTTAAGCTGGATAGGTGGAAACAACCCAGGCTGAGTCGTCTATCCTTCCCTCCTACACGCTGAGGTTAATGAACTGAGTCAAATATAGAGACTATTCTACTGCTTCTTTTTGAGGGTGGTGTAATTTTAAGGCACCGAGAGAAAACTGACGCAAGTGAGAAGACATCAGAGGCCTGGCTTAGATGAGCACATTTAACCACCACCTGTGCCTGTTCTCAGCTGACTGGATAGTTTAGCCTGTAAACATGACCGCTGGGTCTGGGTCTTCTATACAGTGTCTGATGGGACGCTTTATTACATAACAGATTATTTTCATTGGACCACACAAGATGCTTTTAAATGAAGTTAATATATATTCTTTTGGATTTGCAAAAGCACGTTTGTGTAACTCTTCAGGTAGCCTTCATGCTCATTCCTGCTCAATAGAGGAATTTGGAGTTTGGTGATCTGCCTAACTCATCAGCACACACCAGCTTGGGAATGTAGTACTTAAATTAGACAACATAATATGCTCGTATATGTACATTATCATGCAAAGTAACCTAGTTCTGCAAAGATATGAGAGTTCTGAGAAATACACTCACTTTCTGTCCATGAGCCACATGACAGGATGAATGCTGCCTTCATATTTGTTAAATAGGAAGTTACATCCAAACTTAATTGTTTGAGAGTAAATACTGAACACATGGAAAAAAAACGGAATCCTTCCAAAGGTAACAAAAAAAGTGCGAACACATTTTTCCTTCTTCTATGAGACGACATGTTGACTGTCTTAAGTTAAGCTAACTGGCTGCAATGTATGTTTACTGGGCCTCAATCTGTTCACTTAACTCTAAAAATAAACCAAACAGGTGGATTTCCCTAAATATGAACGAGTTCTTTAATAAGATCATTGGATTTTGGTCATTTAGTGTAACCTGTGTGGTTTGAGTGGTTCACGGAGTGTCCGCTCACACTGTGATGGGGCATCCCGATGGATGCCTGCCGGATCGAAATACAGCGCGCATGAGTAACGCTCCACACTGAACCAACCAATCAAAACGGTCTCTGAGATGCAGAAATCTTTTTTAAGATCGTGGGCTCACGTAGCACAACATAGCTGTATTTGCGTGTCTGTGTGTGTGTTTCTGTGCGCACAGATAAGCAAACTCAGCAGCTTTCACCTTTCAGCTTTCTCAGGCTTAAGTTTCCCACAGCCCAGGGGTCAGCATCAAGGCTGTGTGAAAAAGCTTTCACACTGCTGCGATAGTATGTGGGTTCAAAATTTGTGGCCATTAGGAAAAGCTATTTGACAGGTTGTCTGCTCCGCAATAGAATTTGTACTGTTCCCATTTGATATGTGAAAGTCTTCCCAGAATGCTGTGAAAGGTCGACTGTGGTTGTTTGCTTTGGACTGGAAATAAATAAGCAACAAAACAAACCAAAAGATCATTGCACAAGGGAGGGGATGAGCACTGCAGTGGAAAGGGATTGTTTCGAACATGTTCTACTTCCTGGCTCCCCAGGTGGTTGACAGACAGGAGATGACATTTAATACGAATTGCTGTACAGTCTTTACGGGCTGGATACAGAAGCAGGTCAGAGCAGAGGCCAAGGATCCGTCTTAGATGACCTCCCTGCTGTTGCGAATGGCACAGCAGAGCACCATGCTGAAAATCATCCCAATGATCTGTAGAGCAGCAAACACAAATCATCTTATTATCCGCCATCACGTACGTATGTGCATTCCTGACTTTTCTCTTCTCCCTGCTCACCATGACACCAGCAATTCCTATGCCCACGTATCCGACGATGAAGAGTTTACTGTTGAAGAAGTCTTTGATGCCCGTCTCGCAGTCCTGCAGAGGAGATGTTTCGTAAGGCACCAGACTCATTCATTTGATATCAACCAATTTAATTTCTGCTGATTGTATAGAGCTGCTCGAGGTCTTACCCGGGTGTCTTTTTCAGCATCGGGGCATCGGTTTTCTATAGTTCCACAACAGCTCAGCTTAAAATGGGAGGAAAAATATGAGAAGACAAGGCCAATTATAGGGAGCATTAAAAAAAAGCAATGATTCCTCATATATGTAGTTGATCATAATGGTTTTCTTCTATATGTACCACTTTCTGGTAAGAGAGGATCAAAGTGCCGTTGCTGTTTTCATTGTAGGTTTTTGCGTAGAAGTTCTGGACATCTTCAATTATCTGTGTAAGACAAGAAAAGTGAATCTGGACTATTGGTACTGCTTGCAGTTTTCAAAAACAGTGAAACAATGAACGTACCTTGTCTTTGTTTAAGAATCCAAACACTCCTGCTGCCACCTCAGACCCAAAGATGATCAGCAGACAGGCAAAGAACTGCAAAAAGGGATTAAGCGTTTACTACTCAGAAGTATAAAATGCCAAAAGTGCATTCCAGTTGGAGTTTTGCTTATGATCTGTGTGCATTTTTACTCACTGAACCCAGCAGGCACTGTGATTCTCTAACGGCTCCACAGCAGCCAAAGAAACCGACCAGCATCACAAGACCGCCGGCACCAATAAGTATGTACACACCTGGAGGAACATAAAAGGTTCTTGTTAATATGAACAGGAATGGTATACAAAAGATTTCTTGTGTTCATGTCAACACGCTCAGCTTTTTCCCCACATCTTGTTCCTTTGGTGATTAGATTATGTTACAGAGTCACCACAAGGGGGCAGCATAGGACTAGGATTGTAATCTGAGTTAGTCGTAGTGCCAAGGAAAACAAACAGAGGCATTATAATTTCTGATTGTACTGTTTGCTGTGTAAATTGGTGCTTGGCCACATCC